GGTGGTTATTAAACTTAATTCAATGAATTCTTTTTTGTTTGTTTGTTCTTTTGTTTTTTTGGAGACAGAACCTTGCTGTGTTGCCCAGGTTGAAGTGCAGTGGTGCCTTCTTGGCTCACTGCAACCTCCGCCTCCCAGGTTGAAGCGATTCTCCTGTCTCAGCCTCCCGAGTAGCTGGGATTACGGGTGTGCACCACCAAGCCCAGCTAATTTTTGTATTTTTAGTAGAGACAGGGTTTCACAATGTTGGCCAGGCTGGTTTGGAACTCCTGACTTCAAGTGATCCGACCACCTTGGCCTCCCAAAGTGCTGGGATTACAGGTGTGAGCCACAGTGCCCACCCTTACTTAATTCAGTAAATTGTTTGAAAAAGGAGGTGAATCTTAATTCTTCTGATGAATTTTTATTTATTTGTATGCATTGAAACAGCATGTTTGAAGTGGGAATGCCTTCTTTTTAGTGGGCTCTATGGACCCAGAATGTGAAATGCTAATTAATTAGCATAATTTTCATCATGCAGAATTGTTTCTAGGGGATGAGTGGGAGGAGGAAGGGTTTCTGGGATCACAAGCTGCATTTATTTTCCTTTCCTCTGTTGTGCTATATTGTTCTAGGGCGCACCCAGGGACCATTCTGTCTCACTGCCTTTTCCTTTCACAACAAGGAGGTCGCAGGTCTTTATTGCTAGTCTTCTTCAGGCTCTGCTTATAAGACTTTGTTTCTAAATAGGATGAGGAGAAAAGGGAGAAGAATTGTGCAAGCTGGTAGACTGGAATCTGGCATTTCTAATTATATGTTTTTGGCATGTGATGTACTGAGAACTGTGTGGCTTTTTGTGAACACTTCCTGATTTAATCATGACAAATATAAATACAGGCAATTGTCTACTCTAGAGTTGCTTAACATTGAGAGGCTAATGAAGAGCTCAAATTAAATAACTTTTACTGGTGTATGTAACTATAGGTTTTAAAGTGAACTTTCTCTTCTTGTCCCGGGGAAAGTATTTTTGTGTATATTTTTTAGTTCTTGCTTGAATGAAGAAACCACTTTGCTAAAAAACTTTGAAACTTGGATTTTTAACTGAAACAGCCTAGATACTTAGCTAACTTACTGATAAAAAGATAAAATAGGAGGAAGCTAGATAAATTTGGAGGAGCATGCTATAAAATGTTATTAAGCCTTTTTAAAAAATGAGACATACAGTCTGGGTACGGTAGATCATGAGGTCAGCAGTTTGAGACCAGCCTGACCAACATGGTGAAACCCTGTCTCTACTGAAAATACAAAAAATATTAGCTGGACGTGGTGGCGGGTGCCTGTAATGCCAGCGACTTGGGAGGCTTAGGAGAATCGCTTGAAACTGGAAGGAGGAGGTTGCAGTGAGCTGAGATTGTGCCACTGTACTCTAGCCTGGGCAATATGAACAAAACTGTCTCAAAAAAAAAAAAAAAAAAAAAAAGAGAGAGAGAGAAAAAGACATACAAAAAAGGAATTTACAAGGCTAATCAGCCTTCATTTTTACATTTACACCAGAAAGGAGAAAATGCCTGAGATCTTTCCTAAAAGCATAGAAACATTCTTAGCTAGTCTACCTTTTTTTTTCCCCTGAGACAAAGTCTCACACTATCACCAGGGCTGGTATGCAGTGGGGCGATCTCGGCTCACTGCAGCCTCTACCTCCCGGGTTCAAGTGATTCTTCTGCCTCAGCCTCCCAAGTGGCTGGGACTACAGGTATATGCCACCACGCCCGGCTAATTTTTGTATTTTTAGTAGAGACAGGGTTTCACTCTGTTGGCCAGGCTGGTCTCAAACTCCTGACCTTGTGATCTACCCACCTCGGCCTCCCAAAGTGGTGGGATTACAGGTGTGAGCCACTGCGCCCAGCCAGCTAGTCTACTATTAAAAGTCTGTGATGTAAGCAGAATTAAGGACTAATCTGAAAGTCTAAATACCCTGGGTGCTCATGTCTATTCCGTCATTAACACTTGGTCTTTTATTACTTGCCTCCCTTTTGCTAAATGTTAAAATGAGTTCTCACAATAATTGAAAACCATTGCTTGATCAAGCTATTTGCTAAAGCTAATAATAATGCATAAATTACAATGTAAAGTTTGGGGAAGATGGAAAAAAGTTGATTTTGAACCTACTGGTTTAGAATTTGATTTATCTTTTAGAGAAAATCTGATCTGTAATAGAAACAAACAAACAAACAAAAACACTAGACCTGGGGACAGGAGATTTCAGTTTTAGTTCGTCAATACTTTTTTTTTGAGATGGAGTCTCGCTTTGTCGCCCGGGCTGAGTGCAGTGGCGCGATCTCTGCTCACTGCAACCTCTGCTTCCTGGTCTCAGGTAATTCTTCTGCCTCAGACTCCCAAGAAGCTGGGATTACAGGCGCCCGCCACCATGCCTGGCTAATTTTTGTATTTTTAGTAGAGACAGGGTTTTGCCATGTTGGCCAGGCTGGTCTTGAGCTCCTGACCTCAATTGATCCACCCGCCTTGGCCTCCCAAAGTGCTGGGATTACCGGCATGAGTCACCATGCCTGGCCTAGTTTGTCAATACTTTTAATTAGCTGAGTGATTTGGGGGCCAAGTGTGTAAACTTTCTGGAACATAATTTCCTTTTAGGTTAAATGAGAGATCTGAGGTGAACATTCTCTTATAGCTGTACTATTCTGTGCGTTAAATTAATAGTACAGGCTGGGTGCAGTGACTCAGGCCTGTAATCCCAGCACTTTGGGAGGCTGAGGCAGGAGGATCACTTGAGCCCAGGAGTTCAACACTAGCCTGGGCAACATAGTGAAACCGCATCTCTACAAAAAATACAAAAAGCTAGTCAAGTGTGGTGGCACATGCCTGTAGTCCCAGCTACTCAGGAGGCCAAGGTGGGAAGATTGCTTGAGTCCAGGAGGTTGAGGCTGCTCCTGCCACTGCACTCCACCCTGGGTGACGGAGGGAGACCCTGTCTCTCTCTCTCTCTCTCTCTCACACACACACACACACACACACACACACACACACACACACACACAAAATTAGTAATTCATCTCAGAGGGACAACAGGGCATGTTGTAAGAATTACACTGTATATATGAATGATGAATATATAAATGATCTGTAATTCAAGCCTGCCTTTTCCTGTAAATTATTTTGAGAACTGTGAGGCTTACTTCATTAGTGCAAATAGGTACAGCTAAATAGTGGTTGGGGAAAAGGAGAATTTGGGCAACTTGGCTACAGGAAGACATAGATGTATTGAAAAGGCACTATGTTCACTGCGCTGTTATTTGTTTGAAATGAGTCAGTGATGGTCCTGTATTACAAGCAGTACAAACATTTAAACTGGAGGCTTGTTTTTATAGTCAGAGGAAATCCAGGGATGGTGGATCTGTGATTAACTGTTTCTGCTCAGGCAGAAACAAAGAAAATGGAGAGGGTAAAGGGTTCTATAGTTGGGGATGTGCGGTTAATGTATGTCTAGATAGATATAGATATCTAAATTCAGGTGAAACTCACTAATTTTTTATAGAAAAACTCTTTATGTAAATAATTGTGTTTATAAGATAAATCTTTAAGCTTAAAAAATGAGAGCTATCTAGAGACTAGGTAGACCTATTAAAAAGAAAGATGTCTTGAGCATATAGGTGTTCATAGATATTTTACATCTTCCTTGCCAATATAGTACTCTGCCCAATTCTTAGAAGATACATCTCTTCCTGAATCCAAAATAGTAAATGGAAGATACATGAATATAAAAGCTGAAACACAACTTGCAACTGAACTAAATTTCGAAAACTATATCCCCTTCGTTTTTAAAGAAAGCTGGCAAGACAATCTGTCCAAATAAATGAATTGAAATAATTAGTACACTGTAAGGTTCTTTCTAAAGTCTTATTGCTCCCAAGTCCATTTTCTAGTGACGTTTTGCAGGACCTTCAAGCTGATTAATCTTCCCTAATATGGGGCTAAGAATCTGAATTCTTCTAGCCCTGACTCCTGGGGCTGACATGAGTCCTGCTAAGGGGAAGATGAATAATTGAGCCTTTTCATATATTTTCCAGTTTGAAGAAGAAATATACACAGAGTATGTGTGTTTTGAATCTAAACATGTGAAAAATGTATTTGTGTGTGTGTTTTAGAAAGCTGGTGTATTACGTCTGTTCTAAAAGTAGAAAAATGTGACAACACAATGGAACACTTGTCAGCGCGCTTTCTGACATCTCAGTTTTCTGTTGTTCAGTGCTACCCTCATAAATATTCTAGGGAATGTGTAATATAAGTGAGGTTTTGGGAAATCCCAGGTGTAGGTTTTAAGCGGTTGATCCACCTCCTACTGTTTTTGTGCTTAACCTGCTATGAATGATCATGATGCTTGACCAGCCTAGGCGCTTTTCCTGCCTTTGGGGTTCTCTGGCTGGTTTAGTGCAGGGCAGGCATACTAAGGATCTGGTTGGCACTGCTGTTTGAGAAGGCACGTGAGCCGTGCTGTCTGGTGACTACTGAGCACTTGAAATGTGACTAGTGCAACTGAGGAAGTGAAGTTTTAATTTTATTTGTGATTAATTTAAATTCATATTCAAATAGGTACATGACACTAGTGGCTACTGTATTGGACAATGAAGATAGAGAACATTTCCATCATCACAGAAAGTTCTCTTGGACAGCACTGCTCTAGCAATCTCATTCCAAGACTCCCATTGGCCTGGCACAAATCTCTGAACAAGTCAACTGTTTCCCCAGCATTCTAATTTATCAGATGGAGGTGGAGTACACATGCCCTGTGGTTGCCAAGAATATTAATATGTGAACAAAAACATCAGAACTTTGTCTCCTAAGGAAAAAACACTTTTTAAAAATACCATAGAAAACAAATGATGGTATTTCTTATAGTAATAACTATTAAAAGACGTCTAGTAACTGCTAGCATGGTGGTTTGAGAGAACTTATGCTAATTCATATTTGAAGGATCTATAATCTGTATCACTTTTTCTGTTTAGGTACTTAAAGCTTTCACCAAAACACCCAGAATCAAATACTGCTGGAATGGACATCTTTGCCAAATTCTCTGCATATATCAAGAATTCAAGGCCAGAGGCTAATGAAGGTAAAAAACAAAAAATTGAATTAACACTGCAAAAAAAACCCCAAACAACAACAAGCTGTTACTATGACAGTGATTATAAATGAATACTTTAGAGTCCAGCCATTCCCATAAGTAATAAAAACTGTCTTTCAGGGTTGGTCAGAAATTGGATGATAAACTGGAGTAAGTCCCTATGTTGCTGTTTTCCATGTTTCTAGCTAGTAGCACAGTATATAGTTAAGTGTGTGATAAAATGCTTCTTGAATGAAGTTGATCTCATATTATTTTGAGAAGTTACTGTGAGGGGAGCTAGGCAAAGGATTAATGGTGCATCAGAAACAGTGGATTGTGTGGTTGTGGTGGTTTAGCATAGATTGGTCGAGCTTAATTTAAATTAAAACTAAATGTTTATTGTTGAGTGCCTGCAGCCTAAAGTCAGTCTGAGGGTTTTGTTGTTGTTGTTGTTGTTGCTAATTACCCTTAAAGAGCAATTTTTGGAGTTGCTCTAAGAGGGTAATTAGACATACTATCCTTCCAAATTTATCTGCATCTTCAAGCTGGAATTTCATTTTCAAGTCATGTTTTCATGGTGAGAATTGTTTAGGTAGTACAGATACAATTTTCTTTTATTTATTAAAGGACACTATTTTTATTATCTTATTTACCAAATGGATGTATAGTGTAGGGAGGTCTCTTTGCAAGAGGTTCCATTCAATGAACCTTGTCTTAACTACAGCATTAAGTAATTTCATTTTCTCTTCTCTTCGGGATGTTGAGCATAGTTCTTCTCTTCTGGGGAAAACTGTGTAGCACACATTAGTGTTTATTTGAAAGTAACCCAATAACCAAAAATGCTAGCTCCTAAAAATATTTATCATAGTGTCAGATAGTTTCCTAGCTTGAGTGGAGTTCTTTTGAGAAGTTTATGTCAGCAAAGGAACAAGAATACCAAAGGGGAAAATGTCAGTGCTAGTTAAACAAGAATAAATATCGTATAAAAAAGTGAAATACTTCCTAATTTCCTTATGTTATTTCAGTAGGCAAATTCCCAAGCTATTCAGGCTATTTTTTATTACTAAATTTTAAAATTGCAGCACTTTATAATAATAGTATTGAATTCCAGTGTTTTTTGCTCTTGATTTTTGGAATAATACTACATGAAATGTTTTTCTACAGTGAAGGGAAAAAAGTTAGTGCTTAGGTCTGGCTTGTATCTGTTAATAATGTATTGCGGTAGCTGCCATGGTTTGGAAGCAATTTTCTTTAGTAATTGGCTTTTTTTTTTTTTCCCTGACTAATGTTTCTGTCTAAGCAATTTATACATTAAGTGAGTGGTTATGTTGGAGCCCCTCCTTTCCACAGACAGTGTCTTTTCTGTTCTGCCCTTCCTTCATGCAAGCTAACTGTTCTTTTCATAAAATTACCCTTTTATACCCAGATGTTCCTGCTGCGTACTTCTTGGAACAATCTTAGTTACAGTTATGTTTGTATTTTTCTGTGTGGTTTTTTGGGAGTTGGAGGGTGGTTAAATTTCTTCTGACACTTGGTGGGGAGGCGAAAGGAATAAAATGTGTTTGCTTCTGCTTTGAGGGATGAGGATGGGGCGGGGTGGGGGGGGGAATAAAAAGGTTAGAAAGTGACTCATTTAAGTATAACTTTGTATTCTATTTTTTCCCTATCAATTTGTTACTATCTTAAGTAGCCACCTACTTTTCATGTCCTCAGAGTGCTGTAACTAATAAGAACAAACAACATAATATAATACATGGTACATAATCTAGAAGGCTTTATATTGAATTACCTACTGGAAAATAAAAGTTCCAGTTGCCAAGCAACTTCTCTCCACAGGGACCTGTTGAGGCCATGATACTTTAGAAAACAATATTTCAAATCACTTTGGAGCTTAATGGGCCCTCCTTATGTATGTTTGCTGCAGGTCTCACATCTGTTTAGTGCAATCAAAAGGCTTTAGTAATCCTAGGAAATTAGTGATTCACCTTTTTATTTCCCCCAACCCCCACCCAAATGCTGACAATTCACACAGAGATGGATTTGTCATTTTACATGGTGTAAATCAGAGTAGACAAGTCTGATTAGTTTTACCACCTATTAAATATTTTCAAAATCCAATATGTTTAGACAATTTTAAACCTTTTAGGACTTAATTCTAAGTCAGGGATTTGATGTCTGAATGCTACAGTTTTGGGCTAGTGAAACTGAAATAGAAGGACTAGTGGTTAGGTTGGAGTAAGAAGTAAAAAGTAAAATGTAAAGAATAAAGGGGGACACTGATGATAGATAACACATATATAATTATTTTGGTAACATGTTTAAGTTGATTGGGAGTAAAAGTTTATGTAACCATTTAGGCATTCAAAGAGAAGTTCATGGGTAATTTCTTTTGTGGGGATGTGTTAAGCATGACCTGTCCCTAGATCTCCTACTTTTTTTTTTAAGTTCTGTGGCGGTATTAATTTATGTAATTGGCCAAGGTCCCAACTGTAACTAGTCATTGGTATTTATAATACTCACAAGAGAGAAGTGAACTTAGCGTTGTTGAATGTACTCTGAGGCATATTTCATGATGTCCAAATTCCTATTTTTAGATGGGGGCAAGGAATCTCTAGGTCCTGATTAGTTCCTTTTTATTCAGGATCCTCTCCCTTCTCATCTCCCCACAACTCCTGCCTTTCTCTCTGGAAAAGTGTTGTAAGTCAGAGGATGGTTGTGCATTGTTGTAGCAGTAAGCCTGCATTGTATATTAAATTATCTTTAAATACCCATTACCTCTTTCTGTTTTCCATTGATGTGTAACTTAGCCTTAAAACTTGTTTGTATAAGGTTACCCTTTATTTAAAGACTGTGGTAGGTAGCTTGAAAATATAGTTTTATCCATGTCAGTGCTTATAATTTTTAGTCTTTGTTGTAGTCATTGTAAATTATCTTGTTTTTCAATAACAGAAATGCTCTTGTTACATTTAATGTTTTCTGCCTTGAATTTTGCTCATTCAAATCATGTAACAACAGAGAATACATGCTTGCTGAAAAAGTTAAAATGGTATAGAAATAAATTTAATAAAACTTAATTGCCCCTCTTTAATCGTATTACATGACCTCAACAATTTAATGTCCTTTTTTTATGTAATTTTGCAAACATTTCTGTAAATATGTATTGTGTACATACATTATGCAGTTACTATATCAAAATATAGATCTACCTCTATTTTTAGAAATTCTGCTTTGTATTTTATAATATGGATTTTCATTTAGCCATTTCCATGTTGATAGACATCTAGATTGTCTCAAGTTTTTTTTTTTTCTTCATTATAATAAACAGTGCTGCTGGTGAATGTCCTTGAGCTAGATTCCAAATAGTTCAAGAAGTTTGTGCATTTTAAATTTTGCTCTATTTTGCCAAATTGTTCTCTAAAAGTCTATACCAGTTTATATTCCCACAAACATGAAAGTATTCATTTCCCTACACTTTGGACCCTGGTGTGTGTTAATCTTTCTAATTTTACTGTGTTCTCTTAGACAAAAAAGGGTGTTTTGACTTTCATAATTAATTTTAAACTGATTGTGTTGCTCTGTTGCACTTAATAATTTTTTGAGAGCTTTTGAAATAGCTTCTTAGAGATATCAGCATTACTACATCAAGGGTATTGGAGAATAATAGTGCTACTTATTATCTACCGACAGGGAGCTACTTTGTGATGGCTTGCTACTGCCTTCTAGTGGTTAATTTTGGCATTTTCTTTATCTTTATATACTCCTTTGTGATGATTAGTCTTGAAAACTGTATTGTGTTTATTGAATGGTGCTATTTAGTACTTTTTGATAGCTCTGTTTGCATTTGTTTTATTGGTCATACCTTACGTTGATAAATATAATTGTATCAAAGTAATTCATCATTCTTTGTTTTCATTAATATATCTTTGTTATGACATTCTTAACTATGAAAAATTACTAACACTCTAGTCAGGTATAGCAATTCAACTTCATCAAAAGTGCTTTGCTAAGTCCAAAATTATAGAAAAAAGAGTCATTGTAATGTTATGCTAGACTTTAAAAAATGTATTTAAATGAGACAAGGTTTCGCCACGTTTCCCAGGCTGGTCTTGACCCCCTCGCCTCAAGCAATCCACCCAGCTTGACCTCCCAAAGTGCTGAGATTACAGGCATGAAAAACTGTGCCTTGCACTGAGGAATACTATGTGTTATAAACCTTGTAAATTTAGGATATTTTATTTATATATATATAAAATTCAGGAAAATCATTAATTTACGGCAGGTCCAAGGTTAAACATTTGCTCAAAAACTTGTCAAAACACTCAAATAGCATTTGAGACAATAATTCAATGTTTGAATTCAGGCAACATTATCCTCCCCATGGACTGATTCTGTTCATTGTAATCTGGTCAAAGAACTGGTCCTTGTACTCTAATATGTTCTTGTTCTGCATTCACTGCTTTTTTGTCATTGTTTTTTGTTTGTTTTGTTTAAGAGAGAGTCTTGCTGTGTCGCCCAGGTTGGAGTGCACTGGCGTGATCTCGGCTCACTGCAGCCTCCACCTCCCGGGTTCAAGTGATTCTCCTGCCTCAGCCTCCTGAGTAGCGGGGACTATAGGTGTGCACCACCATGCCTGGCTAAGTTTTGTATTTTTAGTAGATACGAGTTCTCATCATGTTGGCCAGGCAGGTCTTGAACTGCTGACCTCAGATGATCTACCTGCCTTGGCTTCCCAAAGTACTGAGATTACAGGTGTGAACCACCGTGCCCGGCCATGCATTCACTGCCTTTAATAAAAAGCATATTAAATCTTGTTTTACAACCTTGAGATTCCGCTCTCTCCTTTTTCTCTTTTCCTTTTAAATATAACCATAAAATGTGTTTCATCATTTCCTGGAATTCTTACTGACCTAACTGTTTCTCACATTGTATTCTCTTGTTAATTTATAAACTACATTTCAGCTAACTATATGCATTATGCTGGCCTGAATGTAATTAATAAAAGTTTGTTTATTGTTTTGTGTTTTTGATCTTTTAAGTGGCTTGTTTCTCTGTCACTTCCGTAGTTTCAGCTGAGCTCTGCTAATGTCTCAACTTCATTTTACTGGGTTCCAGTGCCCTCTGCTGGTTATGTTTCCTCTAAGAAATAAGCTAACTTGATCATGACTATGGCTAGCATTATCATTTAATAATAAAGTGGGTAGATCTTTGACCTTATCACTTATCACTTAGGTAACACATTCTAATTTGTTTGATATTTACCTAAGTAAAAAATATTACCAGGTCAGGCACAGTGGCTCACGCCTGTAATCCCAGCACTTGGGGAGGCCAAGGCAGGTGAATCGCTTGAAGCCAGGAGTTCAAGACCAGCCTGACCAACATGGCATAACCCCATCTCTACTAAAACTGCAAAAATCAGCCAGGCGTGGTGGCGCACACCTGTAATCCCAGCTACTCAGGAAGCTGAGGTGGGAGATTCACTTGAAACCCAGAGGCAGAGGTTGCAGTGAGCTGAGATTGCACCACTGTACTCCAGCCTGGGCGACAGAGTATGAGACTCTGTCTATAAATAAATACATAAATAAACTAATTAATTTTTAAAAAGTAGAATTAAATATATAACAATAGTACCATATAGGACAGAAAGGAGGTTAATGGAGTTCCAAGTTCTTTGCATTATCCTGGAAGTGGCAACAGTTATAATTAAACTTTAATGAGTCAGGGAAACAAAAACTAGAAAAGGATGTATATTAAGCAATAGAGGTGGAAATAGAGGAATAATTTTTAAAAATGTAATCCATAGGAAGGTAGGAGAGAAGAAAAGAACACAGAACAGGTGGACAAATAAGAAGTATATGGCAGATTTAAACCAGAGTTTTTAGTAATGACATTGAATATACATTATTTAAATATTCCAAAGAAAAAACAAAGTTTACCAACTGGATTAAAAACAATGTTGCTTATGTGCAAGACCCTATCTATCTATCTATCTATCTATCTATCATCTATCTATCTATCTGAAACACATACATAAATGAAATGTGGATCCAGGAAAGCTAAAAATGCAATAGTGTAAATACTAACCTAAAGAAAGCTGACAAAGCCACACTGACATTGGATCAAGTAGACTTTAAGGAAAGAAGCATTATGAGATAATGAAACATGTTCCAGACTGATTTAAAAAGGTTAATCTACCAGGAAGATAAAATAATTCTAAACTTGTGTTACCAAATAACTAGCCTGAAAATAAAAGCCAAACTGACAGAACTAAAAGAGAGAGACTAATCCGCAGTCACAGTGGGATCTTAACTTACCTCCTTAGTAACTGTTAGAACCAACCGCAAAAGGAAAACAATGAGAAGACAAAATTGAACAATACAGTGAACAAATTTAATCTCATATATGTATATACATATCTCACTGTACTTCAGAATATACTTTTTTTTTCAAATGCACACGGAACAAAATTGATGGTAAAGCTGGGCCATAGAACAAAGCTAAAAATTTTTCCAAAAAAATTGAAAACATGTGGAATGTTTCTCAATCAAAGAAAATATGATAGATATCAATAACAAAAGTACAGCTAGAACTGGGCACAGTGGTTCACGGCTGTAATCCCAGCACTTTGGCAGGCTGAGGTGGATGGATCACTTGAGCTCAGGAGTTCAAGACCAACTTCGGCAACATAGCTAAACCCTCTGTCTACAAAAAATAAAAAAACTTGACAGGTGCAGTGGCATGTGCCTATAGTCCCAGCTACTCAGGAGGCTGAGGTGGGAGGATCGCTTGAGCCCAGGAGATGGAGGTTGCAGTGAGCCGAGAGCATGCCATTGCACCCCAGACTGGGTGACAGGAGTCAAATCTTGTCTCAAAAATGAAAAAACAAAAGCTACAGCTAGAAAGTTTCTACATGTTTGAAAATTAACTAGCATATTTCTAAATAATCCACAGATTGAAAAAGAATAAAGGGATGAAAATGCAGAATGTCTACTTGTGAGCTATGGCTCAAACCGTGCTTAGAGGGAATTGTATATTTCCAAAAGCCTATATTAGGAAAGAAAAGAGCTCAATATTGGTGAAGTAAAAATTAGAAATACTAAAGAACAGAATATAAGGAAGTAGAAAACAAACATGACATTGAACAAGGAAGCTAAAAACTAGTTCTTTGAAAAATCTAACAAATAAAAAAAATTGATAAGTCCTTGACAAGGAAAATCAAGAAAAGTGAGAGAAGACAGCAAAAACCAATATTAGGAATGAAAAGGAGGATTGCTACAGATGTTCCATTAAAGTGATTTTTGGAGGATATTATGAAAAAATTTATGCTTATAATTTTGAAAACATTGGAGAAATTTACAGAAAGTACAGTGTAACAAAATTGACACAAGGAGGAATTAAGTATGTGAATATTCTTATATCGTTTAAATTTCTTATAATTAAAAAGAAAACTCCAGATCCAGATGGCTTCACTGTTGAGCTCTTCCAAGCATTGGAGGAAGGAAGGTCATACTTGCATATACTTTTCCAGGGAACAAAAAAGAGGGAATACTTTCTAACTTGCTTTTTGAGGGCAGGGAGCCTTGATACCAAAATCACATAAGAACATCAAAAGAAAGGACAATTTCAAGCCAGTCTTTCTCAAATATAGATACAAAAGTCTGAAACAAAATATGCCAAATCTAGCAACATAACAAAAGGTAATACAACCACGTTGGATTTCTCAGGAATGGAAGATTGTTTAAAAATTCAAAAATCTGGCCGGTTGCAGTGACTCATGCCTGTAATCCCAGCACTTTGGGAGGACGAGGGCAGGCGGATCACTTCAGGTCAGAAGTTCGAGATTAGCCTGGCTAACATGGTGAAACTCCGTCTTCTCCACAGGCTCTTCCTCCTACCTATCCTTTAAATGATGTTCCTTAGGGCTTTCTCTAGGCCTTCTACTTATCCTTTACTCTATGGTTTCAGTGTTCATTTATGTTCTTATAACTTCTGAACACATTACTCCAGCTTAGTTTGTGACACTTGAAACCGTATTTGTCTGTCTATTGGACATCTCTATTCACATGTCTTACAGGCACCTCAAACTCAGCATGTTAACTGAACTCATCTCCATAGCCCCTAAATCTGTTTCTCCTTGGGAAGGTAAATGGTTCAGTAACTGACACCAGCATTCACCCTGGGAGTCTTTACTTTCTTGACCAGCTTCTCTATACTACCCTCTGTCCCCAAGATCTAAACTCTCTGAGGATAGGAACCTATTACGCTTTATTCAACAGTGAATTTAACAATCCTTAGAATAAGACTTGGCATGTAGTAGGGGCTCAATTATATTTTGTCGAATGCATCTTCCCCCCTTTCTCCATATTCACTTTGGTTTCTGAACTCTGTTAGTTTTTATCTCCTAAAATCTATTCATTCCTTTTTATGCCTGTAGCCCCTTACCTAACTAAGACTACCATGTGTTACCTGGACTACCATGAAGGGACCAAAGGCTGAGTGGGTGGCTGCAGTTTGGAAGAAGAGGTTTGGGGTTAGGACATATGTACATTGCTGGTAAAATATCTAAGATGCAGCATGTAGCATGTAAGCCTTTACCTTTTTCCTTAAAGGACACAACTGAATTCCGACTTAAAACTACATGGTTTGCCACCTCATGATATTTAACTTTCTTTTGTGACCAGTTTCCACAGTCATCTGTGTAAGTTCATCTATTCTGAGAGTGAAGGGGAAGGTGGATTGAAAGTAAAGGATAAGAAAGGATAATAGAAGGTCTGTCTGTTGTTACTCCATATTTTAAATGACATTCGCACCCCCTTTCTGCTGAGGGCCACTAACCTTGACTTTCCAGATATACAGTGGTGCTCTGTCCCACGTTAATGAATGCCATCAAAAATACGGAATAACAACAGACAGATCTTCTGTTATCCTTTCTTCTGAATCTTGACAATCAGAATCATGACAATCTGAATCATGACAATCAGAGCATCTTAATCTGTTTGGTTAAAGAGGCTCCCAGTTCAGTATTGAAAATTGAACTCTTTGACCTTTGTGTTTTTTTGTGTAAGATAATGCTATTCTTGGCTTCCTGTGAATTATAAGACAGTTTTGAAAATCCCAGGTTTTCTGTTTGGATTGTTTGAATTGGTATTTCTTAACACATTTCTCGCTGATAAATCAAAATATTCCTGGGGGAGCAGGAATTAAAAATGAGGGCAATAATCTGTCTCTAAGATTTTTTAATCTCTAGATTTGAATTAATGTGCTTGCCTTTTCTCATCCATTTTTCCAGTTTAAATGTCAAATGTGTTGGAGCATTTGTGTTCATGTGTGGGACATGTAGTTGTTAGCAAGTTTTTTTTTTGAGACGGATTCTCGCTCTTTCACCCAGGCTGGAGTGCAGTGGTCCTATCTTGGCTCACTGCAGGCTCTGCCTCCTGGGTTCACGCCATTCTCCTGCCCCAGCCTCCCGAGTAGCTGGGACTACAGGCACCTGCCACTACACCTGGCTAAATTTTTGTATTTTTAGTAGAGACAGGGTTTCACCGTGGTCTCGATCTCCTAATCTCGTGGTCCGCCTGCCTCAGCCTCCCAAAGTGCTGGGATTATAGGCGTGAGCCACCGCGCCCGGCCTGTTGTTAGCAAGTTTTTACAAACACCACTGTTTGACATTATGCTTATTTATACTTTTACCTGAACAAACTTGTTTCATCCCCCACCCTATCACATAATTAAGCTCTAGGAGAGCAGGGGCCTTGTCTGTATTGTTCTCAGTACCTTGTGTCAGAGTAAACACTCACTGACTCAAAGAGTCATGCTTCTACATGCGGACTTGAGTGGTTTTCCTTCTTACAGTATTCTCACTTTTTCCTTTTTTATCCCCCACAAGCACTGGAGAGGGGTCTCCTGAAAACCCTGCAGAAACTAGATGAATATCTGAATTCTCCTCTCCCTGATGAAATTGATGAAAATAGTATGGAGGACATTAAGTTTTCTACACGTAAATTTCTGGATGGCAATGAAATGACATTAGCTGATTGCAACCTGCTGCCCAAACTGCATATTGTCAAGGTAGGTCTGAGGGGGTGATGTCGCATTGCCATTGCCTTGTATTGTATTTACTAACATGGCATTTCCTTTGTGCTCAAAACATTTCTGATCTTATATGACTAGTTGTTTAACTCAATGCTGTTTAGGCAATAGTTGAAACACCCTAGAGTTAGTTAGAAAATTATGTCTTAAAATTGAGGAATATAAGAAAGATGAATTTTTTTTTCTGTGACTGCATAAAAATGCAAAGATATCATGCATGACTTTGAATTGGAGTTTGCCACACTGACTTCTGTTGTCAAATTCTGTTCTGTGATCACACCTGGCTTTCTCTGTTCAAGGCAAAAAGTATTGAGCATTTATTATATGAGACACTGGGCTGGGCACATTGTTAAATAGAATAATAATAAGCACTAGTTGTAAATAAAGACCTAAGATAACAAAAACAGATGTAAAATAGTGTATGTGTGTTGTGAAGTATTTTCCAGTGATTATACTTGGCTGTCTTTCTGGGTGTCCAAGGCAGTTATTTGCAGTCACTGTCACACTTCTAAATCCCTGGTGTAGCTTGCAGTCTTGGTCATTATTTAAAACTCTGGTTAGAATGATGGTGACAGACTTCTTTTCAAATAGAAGCAGTTCTCAAAGATTTAGAGCATTAATTATTTGCTCCCAAATCTGAGATGTGTCTAGCTTGCAAGACATGGAAAATAAGTCTGTTAACTTTTGATCTCTTTGTATTTCAGGTGGTGGCCAAAAAATATCGCAACTTTGATATTCCAAAAGACATGACCGGCATCTGGAGATACCTAACTAATGCATACAGTAGGGATGAGTTCACCAATACCTGTCCCAGTGATAAGGAGGTTGAAATAGCATATAGTGATGTAGCCAAAAGACTCACCAAGTAAAATCGCGTTCATAAAAGAGATGTCTTCATGTCTTCCTCTAAGAATATGCTTTCCTAACAGGCTACTCCTTCTTACAGAGCAGAAATTGTATTTTGCACGAACATGCAGTTATTAAAGATTAGGATCAAGGATAGACAAGGTGTAGTAGTTATCTTAAGATATACACTCCGAAGCAGTATTATTTTAAAATCGTTTTACCCTGCCTATCTTCCCTACCCGGGTTCCCCTCTCTTTAATTTGGAGACACTCCACCACAAACTTTTCACCTTAGAGGTAGCTTGCCATCTCTCAGGAGCCCTCACCGTTGTGTCCATTCACTGTGTACAGATGGCAGAACTTTTGAGGTGCAATGTTTAATTGTTAAAATAGTAGCCATGACTTTATCAGGCAGCCCCAAACTGGTGCATAATGCATGGTACAAGGAATATTTATGTATTTTTTGGAATTTTGTAATATTTAGTAAAAGTATAGGAAAGGATTGCTACTGTATCAGAAATACTGTTTCAATTTAGTCTATCCAGGATATGTACTAACGACTATTACCACCAGAGAAGAGAGCTTTCTACAAAAGTCACTACAGATTTTGCTATATTGCTTTGTAGATAGATTTTTACTTTTGCCTAAAAGTATTTATCCTTCATACCAATTGTAACATCTGACACCATGTAGAAGCTAAAAGTTTAGAGGGAGTGAGGGTTTTCTCAAGACCTTCCTCAAGCATTTTATCTTTATAAGAGAAATTGATGGGCACCTGATACTCTGTCTAAATATGTTTATTATATGTGTTTTGCCCTGTGCCATTCATTTGGAACATTATTGCTTTCTTTATTTTAAAAAGCTTGTTTTTAGGTAATCATAGAGCTTGCTATTTGTACATCTTTTGAGCAACACTACATAAACTGATTTTTAGTTGATTTAGCTATAGCAGTACAATGATTAGTAATGTAAAAATTAACACAGAAATTAACCTAAGGAATAAAGGGTGGGTTTGTCAAAATATCAAGTGAATTTTTATTTCGAAAGTACATTTAATGTAGATGACCTAAAGAATGCATTATCCATCCTATATAAAAAAAAGATAAAACACAGGTCACCAACTTTCTCAGTTCACCCCATTTACCTTGTATAGAGGATTGTTCATTCCTTTGGGACTAAGTTATAATTATGGTGAGTGTGTCTTTACTGTAGTTTTGCCTGATCTCACTCATTGCATTTCCTGGAGTTAAATTTTCCAGTAGCCATGTTGAGGACTAGCACTCTGCATGTTTTTGTTTTGTTTTTCGGTGTTTTTTAAAATTGAAGTCCTAAATCAGGAATTATTTGTGCTCTAACAAGGGAGGATGAACTTGCTGAAAATAAAACTTTGCTGTGTATTTACTCTTTTTTAAAAGACAAAAACAAAACCAGACTTTCTAAGTACTACTCCAAAGACTGTGATTGTGACTATAATACATTTTTTGGTAATTTTTTTATACCTAATTTGTATAGGAAGTGCTATTTCTCATAGGCTGTTTCTTGAAATTTTAAGTTTATTGCTTTAAAAGGGCAGTGTTTCTCCCACTTTGATATGCTAACATTTAGTGAGCACTGGCTTTATGGAAGCAGCTTTTTATAAGTGTCCTGCATTTTTTGAACCTATCATTAATTAGCTTAGTATGAAAGACAAGAAAATCTCCATGTCCTATCCATTTGGCTTAGGGAGATTCTTTACCATACCTTTCTTAAAACTCTTTATTGCTTATCAAAAGTTTTGAGTACCCGCCTTTTTTTTTTTTTGTAATTAAATATTGTATGATTTATCTGGTTCAAGGAAGAAGCACTAGTCAGTTATCTATTGAGAAATTATTTTGCAGTGGTTTTAGTGGGTGAAAGTGTCCCATCTGCACCAGTACACAGGCAGGCATTCTCACTCTTCACCTACTTTTTAAATAGTGGCAACTTGGCATTCATTCTGGTGATACTGAACCTTGCCTCATAGCTTAAAGTATAAAAAAGATTCAAGAACAGTAAGGTTTGTTCTTTCCAGTGAACAGTGGACCAAGTGGTGCAGGGTGGAGGGCTAACAGGGGAAAGAGCTCCATTCTTCAAAATACGGTGATGAAAATTCATTTTGAAACTCAAATATTTTCATTTTGGATATTCTCCTGTTTTTATTAACCCAGTGATTACACTTGGCCATCCCTCTAAATGTTCGAGGAAGGCATGTCTATTGTGATTTTGATGAAGACAGAATTATTTTTCTCTGTAGAAAGACAGATACCACTTTATCAGGGAAGTTAGTCCAATGAAATGGAAATTGGTAAATGGACAAAAGCTAGCTAGTAAAAAGGACGATCCAGCAACATGCTTTAACCCCATTGTATGTTTGTGGAAAGAGCATAATTTAAAATCTTGAGAAATTTGGGACATAAAAGTTTTCATAGTAGACAGGTCATGCAGTATATGAATTGACATAACGGAAAAATCTGATTTTATTTTTACAACTAATGAATCCATTCTCCTTCATTTAAACACCTTTTGTGTTTTACTTCAGTGAGGAGATTGGAGTCTGAATGGATCTGTTTTCCAAGAGATTCTGAGAAATTTTTGTATTCAACAGTTGGAAAGCTCTCTATTCTAGCTGATAAAACTTCCCTTTTTTTTTTTTTTGATGTAGATGCAGATATTCTGTACAGTTCTGTTGTCTTTTACTAGGACTGTTAACTTTTATGATAAAATTCAAATAAGATTTTATTTCTTGGTAATTTTGGCTTTCACAATTTATCTTTAAATCCTTGAGCAATCTGTATACAATTAAGAGATTTCTGACATTTATTCTTACACTAAGTGGATCAACTCTAGGATTTAGGCACGTTAACTTTATTTCTGTTGTGTTTTGAATCTCTCCGGAGTTGCATGTAGATAGCATTGATTTCTGTGTACTTAAACCCATTTAGAAAATAACTACAAAGTAAAAATGGAGAGGAAATCGAAATGTATTTTTTCATGAACATTTTGATACAAAGTTCATCATTTAATGATTCATCAATTTCTTGCATTAATTTGAATTAAGCATTTAATTCAAAGAGAGGGGAGCATTCATTATTGATATATGTGGACTTTTAAAAACTCCATCCTTTATAAATAGTCAAGGTTTGGGCCACACAAAGTATATTTTTATCATGGAAAAATTTCAACTCCTCAAGCCATCATGTTGAACAGAATTGGAGTATTTTCTTTAGAATTTCTGGAACAGGCAAATGAAAGCTTATTATAGGATGCATGTATTTTCTTTTCTCTTTGGAACATCAACACCAGTATATTGCTGGCAGCTATGGTATTAAAAATAAAGTATATTTTCACTATCATAAAGGATTCTTTTTTCCCCCCCTCATGAAAATAAACAACAACTTGGGGTAAAAGTGTTTTGAGACTACTTTTTTTTCTATGGGTGATTCAGCACATTTAATACGTTAAAGGAAAAAAAACCATAGGATCATTTCAATAGGTACAGAAAATAACTTGATTAAAATATTCATGTTACTCATTCTTAGCAAAATAGGTAACTTTTTTTTAACCTGATAAAGACTTTTATTGAGAACCTATAGCAAATGAAATAGAAGCTATATCGTTAAAGTCAAGAATAAGACAAGGTTGCCCTCTATCACAGCTACTATCCAGCTACTTTCACAGCTAGTTTATTTAGAGATATCCTAGCCAATGCAGTAACATCAGTGAAAGGAATAAGGAATGGAAAAGAAGCAACAAAATGACTGCCCTTGGCAGGTAATGATGATTGTGATGGTGTGTGTGTGTGTATAAAATCCAAAATAATTTACAAATACTAAAAATAATTCAGCTGGATTTCTAGTTGCAAGATTGAAGAACAAAATTTAATATAACTACTATATACAAATAGTAACCACCTTGAAAGTCAATAGAGAAATTGGTAACATTGTTTTTTTTTTTTTTTTCTGGAAGAGAATTGGGTGCCTGAGGTAAATAGGTGGGAAATTATCAAGGTATACTTTTAAGTGTTTAGAAATTGGTAAATATATTACCTATTCTAATAAACAAAGTGCTTTAAAAAAAGAATAAAGATCCTAAGTGATTGAGGATCAAATCAAACTGTGCAATTCCTAGCCAAGTATGGTGGCTCATACCTGTAATCCCAGCACTTAGGGAGGCCAAGGTGGGAGGATTACATGAGGCCAGGAGTTCAAGACCAGTCTGGGCAACACAGCAAGACCTTGTCTCTACAGAAAAAAAAAAAAAAAAAAAAAAAAAAAAATGTGGTAGCGTGAGTCTGTAGTCCTAGCTACTCGGGAGGCTAGGGAAGAGGATCTCTTGAGCCCAGAAGTTTGAGGCTGCAGTGAACTATGATTGTGCCACTGTACTCCAGCCTGGGTGACAGAGCAAGACCCTGTATCTTTTTAAGTGCAATTCTTTATGGAGAAAAGTACAAGACATTATTGAAAGGCCTAATAGAAATTTGTTCAGTGGATAGGCATACCATATTCATGGATGGAGAGCTCAAAAGCATGAAAATTTAAATTCTGACTATTTATAAATATATTTTCCAACAAGATCCTAACAGGTGTTTTTGGAAACTAGATAAACTGATTCAAAAATTCATATGGAAGAGTCATGCCCCCAAATAGCCAACATATATTTGAAGATGGGGAAAGAGAACTTGTCTGACAAGATGCCAAGACTTATTAAAAACTTACAGTAATTGATGGGTAAGATATAGGTCACAGCAACACAATACTTCTGCTGCAACAACCATAAAAAACTATTAAAACACCAAAAGAGGCCAGGTGCAGTGGCTCAAATCCCAGCACTTTGGGAGGCCAAGGCAGGCAGAATCACCTGAGGTCAGGAGTTTGAGAGCAGCCTGACCAACATGATGAAACCGTGACTCTACTAAAATTACAAAAAATAAATAACAATAGTGATGGAAGGAAGGTAAGTGGAGTTAAGTACTTGTAAGATTCTTACATTATTTGGGAAGTGGTAAAAGTACCAATTTAAGAAAATGATAATAAATCATGGATAAATATCAGAATTTCTAGGCTAACTACTAAAAACTACAAGAATAAAAATCCAAGACTCAAGGAGAAAATGGAAGTTTTAAAAAATTCACTTAATCCAAAAGAAAGGACAAGAGGACCAAATGAACAAAAGATAGGACAAATTGGAAAAACAGCAAAAGGTTAACTGTAAATCCAACACTGTTAGTAAATTTATGAAATGTAAATGGACTGAACAATGTTAAGTGTCAAACTGGATTAAAAAACCCCAATATATGCTATTTACAAGAGACAAATACATGGGCTCAGAAGGGTGAAATTAAAGAATTGAATAGTTAATTCATTGACACAAGAAAAGATGTGACTATCATACAAAGTAGGTTTTGAGGCAAGAAATGTTACTAGAAATGAAGAAGGATGTTTTACAATAGAGGACATTGATAATCATGAACAATTTATTCACTATGAAAATGTAACAGTCCTAAATTTCTCTGTGTCTAATAACACCTTTAAATAAAATAAAAATTGACTAAGCTAAAAGAGAAATAGTCTCCAATTATGAGGACAAATTCCTCCTCATAATTGGAGATTCTTAACATAATTCTCAGTAACTGATAGAACAAGGAGGAAAACACGTGCGTGTGCACATACACATGTACACACAGGAATAGCAGAACAGAGAATAACACAACCACTTGACCTAATGGATGCATGTGGAACCCTATATCCAACAACTGCAGAATATACATTCTTTTCAGGTATATGTGGAACTTTTAGTGAAATAGACCATATGCCGACCCATAAAACAAGCCTCAACAAATTTCAAAGGAATGAAATACAAAATACGTTTTCCGACCACAGTGGAATTAAACTAGAAATCAATAGTTGAAAGATACCAAGAAAATCCCTAGAATAAGGAACTACTTACAGTAGCCTACAACCCACGCTGATTTTTTTTTTTTTTTTGACAGAGTCTCACTCTTGCTGCCCAGGCTGGGGTGCAATGGCATGATCTTGGCTCACTGCAGCCTCCGCCTCCCAGGTCCAAGTGATTTTCCTGCTTCAGCCTCCCTAGTAGCTGGGATTACAGGCGCCTGCCACCATGCCCGTCTAATTTTTGTATTTTTACAAATACAAAAATTGTAACCTGTTGGCCAGGTTGGTCTCTAACTCCTGACCTCAAGTGATCCACCTGCCTTGGCGTCTCTCAGTGCTGGGATTACAGGCGTGAGCCACCACATCCTGCGTGAAAATCTAAATTTTTAAATTGAACACACGTACTTATTATATACCAGGAACTGTTCTAAACACCTTACATGTATTAGTCTCTTTAACAATCCTATGAGATAGAGACTATTATTCCCATTTCATGGATGAGCTGAGGTATGTGGAGGTTAAGAAACTTGCTCAAGAGCCTGGGAAACATAGCAGGACCTTGTCTCTACAAAAAAACAAAAACAAAAAACGGAGTATGGTGGTGAGAGCTTCTAGTCCGAGCTACATGGGAAGCTGGGGCAGGAGGATCGCTTGAGCCCAGGAGTTTGAGGTTGCAGTGGACTACGATCGCGCCATTGCACTCCAGCCTGGGCAACAAAGCAAGATTCTATCTCTAAATAAGAAACTTGCTCAAGATCCCACAGCTAGTAAATGACAGTCAAAGTTAGGCAATATAGCAATACGCAGATAGTGCTCAGCAGTCTTTAAAAGTGTGTCTGCTTTCCTCAAAAGAGTGGACTTGGCTCCCTGGCCCCTGACAACTAAGGTAATTGGTTGCCAGGTAAGCAGAGGTCCAGCTGGAATATACAGATTCTTTAAAAAGAAAAGAAAAAAAAAAAAAAGACGGGATTCTGGCTCTGTTCCCCAGGCTGGTGTCAAGCCCCTGGCCTCAAGCAATCCTCCTGTCTCAGCCTCCGAAAGTGTTGGGATTGCAGTCGTGAGCTACCGCGCCCGGCCAAGACAAGAGTACATTTGGGTTGTCCTGTGGGGCAGGTCTCTCGCACTAAGCAGGAGGTAGAGGTCCCTGGCCCCGAGGAGCCCTGCATCCCCCACCTCCTGCTGCAAGAGGCATCAGCTGGCCTTGTCCCTAAAGCTGGCCTTCCTGCCCAAGTGGCCAGCAGGGGCCGCGGTTCCCCTCCTTTCGGCGCCACTTCTGCAAGCAGGGCTGGGACAGCTGCAGGACCTCGTCAGTTTGGGGAGCTGCCAGACCCGATCTGCAGCGTTGTCGGCTTCCTTCCTCTTTATCAGATCTGTCAGGGCTGCTGCGCGCTGCGAAGGCGCCTCCGGCCTCCTTCCCTCCTTCCGGTGTCGAACGGACGCTCCCCGGCGCCGCTGCGAACCAACACCTCCGCGCACCGACACCTCCGCGCCTCCCCCGGCGGGGCAGGGCAGGGACCCGCTCGCACCCTCGGTGGGGTGGGGTGGGAGGTGCCAGCCAAAGTCCACGCGAGGTCAGGTCGTGCGTGGGCCTCGGCGCTGGCACTTCTGCACGCCCCTGGTTCTCGGCCCGCCACCGGCAGCTAGAGGAAGCGCCTCGCCCGTAGAACCACAAGGCTGGGCGGCGGTTGGGTCGCGGCAGGGCGAGGGCTCAGCTGCGGTTGGCCCCGAGCCGCGTCCTTCTCCCGGGGGCCCCGATCACTGCCTGGGGACTCGAGAGCGCCCCCGCCGCCGCGCCCGGCGCAGGTTCTCCGCTTCTGAGAGCGCGCGCGGGAGCCCGAGCGAGCCCTCCTGGACACCCGGCACAGGCCGGAGCGCCGACTGCGGGAGGGGGCCGCCTGGGCACTAGGAAAAGGGGCCACGGTTCCAGGTGGGGCGGTCCCCGCTCTGCTGCCTCGGAAGGGCCTCACTTCTCTGCCAGAAGCGGCACCCATCCATGGGGAGGGACGGCCTCGGGACATCCTTTGGGGAAGCCAGTGACACATTTCTGATCCAATTTCTTATAAAATAAGAAATAGGTAAACCTCAGTTTCTTCCTGTGCTTCCTTTCTCTAATTTCCTCAGTCAGATAAAGATTCTCATTAAACTCGATGTACCAGTTATTGTGCTAAAGTTTTTAAAATGTTTCAAGTCTTTTCATATTCTCAACAGTGTATTAGAGGAGGGACTATTCTTGTCCCTATTGTTTTATATAAAGAAACTTAAATCTAGAGAGGTTAAATAATTTGCTCAAGGTCACACCGGGAACCGATAGAGGTCATCTGGCTCCAGAACTTAACATCACACTGGGTTGGTTGCTGTCACCTGCCCTGTGCAGGGTGTAGTGGAGACTCGGGGAGGCTGATTTCCTCCTCTCCCTCCCTCCTCTCCCTCTCCCTCTCTCCCTCTCTCCCTCTCCCTCTCTCTCTCCCTCTCCCTCTCCCTCTCTCCCTCTCCCTCTCCCTCTCTCCCTCCCC